TCCAATGAATTACCGCACTGCAGTGTCCGAGTGAATGGATACTCGCATAGACCATGCTTACCATACCACCCCGACCCCATCCACAACTGCCTACACTAGACATGCTAGCATTGCCTGCAATGTCTCTTCGTAATCCATTGTTTTTATCACGAGACTGTCCATATCAGTTCCCTATACATCATTCACTTGTTCATCAAAATCTGGATTAATGCCAAGACATTTCTATACTCGATACGATGCAACTTATCCCTAACTCAATGAACTCCCCAGATACTAGGACAATCTACAATGCATAACATGCAACGTATGTAACTATCATATCATATGTATTCAGACCAACGTCCACTATAATATAGTAACAGACAATAAGAACAAGGAAATAAGTACATATGTGTAAATGTGAAACAACAACCCAAACGCCAACGCTGCAACACACGAAAAAGAAAAAAGACAGGAGGGGGTATAAAGTGCGTACTGTACGTGTCACGTGCATCGTCGAAAGGGGGATGATGGATTATTAGTGAAAGGACAATGGGGGAAGGGGGTTGGGAGTTGTAAGGGGAACAGTGAAAGAAGGCGAACAAAGGATAAGAAGCATTCGGATTAACACTTCTCCAAGCGCTTCCTCCTCTCCGCATAAATAGCCTCTAATTTCCGGATCTGCAATCCAAGACCCTTCTTCTCTGCATTAGTGAAGAGCCAAGCTTCCATTCTCTCGCGGAGATGTCTCATAGAATTCGTCACGGGGAGGATAGGTCCGTCCTCACTGGCCATAGCGGCAGGGTTCTGGCCTGCGCGTTCCAGCTGAGCCCATCTCTCTTCGCCGGGGTTGAGGAGGAGGTCGAAGACGTCGTTCCAGATGTCGCGCTCCCAGTAGCGTTTCAGAGACTCGCGGATTCGGTACGTCTTTGTCTCCGGGGTATTGCCGCTGGGGACGGACTCGAGGTACTTTCCGAAGAGCATGACGTGGATGGTGCCTGCCAGGCCGTAGAGATCGATTTGATGCGTCCAGGGTCGCTTCTCGCGGATTTCGTTGCATTCGTGCTTGCCGGTTTCCCAGTCGGCGACGAATTGGACAGATGGTTGGAAGGCTTGCATGTCGATACTGCGGCCGAAGTCGATCAGTGAGAGACCCTTGTTGCGCCAGCCGTGGAGGCCCCGGGGGGAGTAGTGAATTTCGCGTGGGTCTGCGGTGATCTCGTCGCCTAGGTCGATCAGGGAGGGAGGCGGTACGGGCTTGTCGTCGAGGCGGACGAGGCAGTTGTCGGCTTTGATGTCGCCGTGTAAGATGCCACAGGAGTGAAGGGATTCGACGATACGGAAGAGCTCCACTGTGAAGAACATGGCCAGGACCTCGTCTATACCGCCTTCGGCGTTGGTAGTGGCTGAGATCGGCTCGTTACGGATGAGGTTCACGAGATCGAGCAATGTTCCTTGTCCACGGTAATCTTCGACCAAGATGCTTTCTCCTTTGTAGACGTGAAGCTCGTGCGCGCGGATGATACTTTCAGTGGCGCGGGAGTATTCGGGATGCTGGCTCAATCGTTCATTTGCCGTGCGGATCATGTAGAACTCCCACTCACTGGGTGGTCCTACCTCTAGCTTGATCGCTTCGAAGCCGTGACGGGGTGTGTCATATCGAATGGGACTAGGGTTGTGGGAATCTCTGTTGTTGGAGTCGGTTTCCGAGTCGGAAGGTAGACTGTCGATGCTCTCTGCAAAATAGACCGGCGCATAAGCACCGGCACCGAGCTCACGCCTGATGATATAGCTTCTCTCAGCACCTGGAAGTTCAAGGATGGGAACATCGAAAGATGCCTCATCCCCGCTTCTTGAACGCTTTGGGCTTGTCTTGAGGTATCGCTGTATCTCAGAGCCATAGTGAGTGTCCATGTCCGGGTGGCCGTGGTAGCCAGGGTACGATGCCAGCGGAGGCTGCAATGACCGAAGAATCGTGTTGCGAATATCCCTGTCAGTGGGGTTGCACAGCTCATCCTTGATAACTACTCCTGTCTGAGTGATTTCCTTCAGGGGGCTCAATTTGAAGCTTGTTCGAAACTTCTCCATCGTGGGGCTGAGAGCAACGTCTTCAGGAATATCAGGAAAGTCATCGTGGTGAGGGGTGGCAGGAATCAACGGGCTCGACAACAAGAGATTGCCCATCGGGGGCTTCGACGGCGTCTTCGCATTATAGAGACTGTTTCTCGCTGCTGTCATTGACAAAGAATGTTCGGTCTGTTCAACGATTGGTGTCATGAAAGGCAGGCGATTCTGAGCCATGATTGCGGGGTCTCGATAAGGACCATATGGTGGATTGTAATCTTCAGGCATTTGGGGAACAAATCGCTGCCTTTCGCCATTCTCATCTGCATCATCGAACTGCTCTGTGTTATCTCTGCCATGGTATGTGGAGTCCTCCGGCATGGCAGGTGAATGAGCAGCTCCCAGATTCGGCACATCACAAGCCGAGAACTGCGTCCACTCTCCATCTGCCACGCTCTCAGCGCGAGTGTTATCTTCGAATCCATCCTCGTCACCTTCGACAAACGACTTATGAAAGGTTGTATCATCATCGCCGAAGTCGCTTGATGCAGCAGACATGCGACCAGTGACCGTGCTCTCTCCAGCGCTCGTATAATCATCGTCATCGAAGTCACTACTCTCTGCATTCTCGGTCTCTGCTTTGAGTGGCTGATTGAAGATGCTATAGATCTCGTCTGTTGCAGCGCGGGTGTGGATAGTCATGGTTGGCTCCGCAGTGCTCTTGCGGCGAATCTTGCCTCCAGTGGGCGAATCAAATTTCATTTTGACTTCAATTGGATTAGTACACAAGACAGTGAATGAAAGAGCATTAAGTACGGAATGAGTCAAAGTAGATACTTACTCGTCTGTGTTTCTCCCTTCACTTCACGAAGCTTCAACTTCCGCGCTTTGTTGGTTTTGCTTTCCTGGGCCGAATTTCCCCGTTCGGGGTCGTGGGTCTCTGCATCTTTGACAGTCAACTTCTGCTTAAACTGTTGTGGTAAGTCATTTTCAAGCCCATGCTCAAGAGGGTTCTCGGAGGGAATCTCCGCAGAAGCAGCATTGCCTGAGATCTGCTTGAGGGGCTCTTTGTGGGCCCGCCAGTTCTTGCCCATCCAGCCACGGCTGATAGCTCTAAGTTCTTCGAAGCTCACTTCATGATTCGGGTTCTTGTAGTCTGGGTATACTGCTTCAAGGTTGACGAACACGCGCTCCCGTCTCCCTGTACGTGGGTTAACCGCTTCCCTTACGCGATGCTCTGGAACATGTTTCGATTGCAATGCTTCTTTTGCTTGTAAATTTGAATTTGACTGAATACATAAATCGTAAACCAATGCGGTTCATGCCACCAATTAGTCCTGTGATCGTAAATATACGGAAATCAGAAAGAGTAGGTAAAATAACCTGAACTTACCTCATCCCTGAAAATCGTCATCTTCTGTGCCGGTGCCGGCTTCTTCCCCGCCTTCAAAGTCTCTCCTGCCCATGGCTTTGCCTCAACCTTGTTCTCCTTCCGTCGGTCATGCATCGAGCCAATGCTGTCCCACCCTTGTGCCGGCGCACTGACAGCTGGTTGGCTGGGTGAATCGGCATCGGAAAAGATCGCCATCTTCGGCTTGCCGGATTTCGTCTTTGGGGCAGCGCTGCGGGCGGGTGCTGGGCGCTGGGCCTGGGGATCGGCTTCTTCCGCAGAAGCCGAAGCGAAGGGGTCGATCTTGGCAGCCAATGCTGGGCGCACAGCCGGTAGTGCAGGTGATGAGGGGCCATTGTCCTGTGTGTGGTTTTCGTAGCGGTGCTGGAACTCGCTGTATTTGCGCACAAGTCGTTCTGCGGGGCGCGCTTCTTTGTCAATGCCAAGCCGGTACACCTCGTCGGCCTGTGTCCATCTTCCTGCACTTTCCAGCCAAGCCGCAAATTCTTCGTAGAACAATGCGAGTCCTTCTCCGATGCGGTGGCGTGCCAGAAAAGCGAATGTCTCCCGCGGCGAGTCGGAAAAGAGTCTGATGTAGTGGAGCCACAGGCGCAGATAACGGGGGTCGTTCTTATAATGAGGGGAGTTGAGGAAATGTTTCACGGCACGCTCCAGGAGGGGCAGAAGGCCGGATTCAGTTGTAGCTTGGGCGGTAGGATAAGCATTTAGCGTCCATTTCACATATCGGTCGTAAATATCCAGCGGGTCGTCGGATTCTCCTATGGCCCGCAATTCTGATTCATATTCCTGGCGGATGCCATCATTCACTGTGCGGGTATCATTTGGGGACGGTGTAGCCAAGATGTCTGTAGACTCGCGCGGAGAGAAGATGCGAGCCAACTCTCTTGCTGAGCGGCCTCCTGGTAGCGACTGAATGTTCTCCTTCTGGCCTTCGATGATGTCGAAGTTGACGTGGTCTTCGTTGGCCGCCATTGCGGCGACAGATGAATATGAGAAGTGGATCAGAGCGAGTGCGTGGAGGGTGGTTAGTGATCGGTCGTAGTAACTTTGCGATGATAGCGGTGAAGATGTCGAGATGGTGGGCTGGCGAGATGTAGCAAAGGGACTCGAGGAGATTGAATGGGATTGACCGACTCGGGCAGTTTATCGATAAACAGCCGCTAGTCCCACTATAGCTCGTTACCTCGACGACCAGTCACATGGGCGCTAGCCCATATCGGGTAATATTCGCTGCCGCTGCTGCAGAGATGTTCATGATGCTTTTTGAGGACAATCCATAATTTGTTAAGGAATATTTGAGATTCAAATCAGTTACTCATATTCGAACACATCTAATCAATTTATATCCTACTCAATATAACGCGTGGGAAATTCAAATCAAGCAATCGCCTCAAGCAAGCAATTCCCGCTCGCGTCGACCGCGTCAAACCGCCGGGCCGATCCTGCTGTCTTTCACGGCCCACCATCGCCTGCCATCCCACCATTCCAGAACGACTGGCCAGATCGGGTGACTTCATAGTCCTTGAAGTGCCCCAGACAAGCTGCGATGCCTCCGCGCGGTACCCGAAAAGCAGCCTCAACCGCAGTGGCGACTGAGCCGCCACGCTCCCCCGAACTGGGAGGCAACAAGCGCAAGCCAGACGACCCTCAGGAACAGAGCTCCCCGCTACGAAGATCGAAGCGCGTTAAATCCGTCGAAGGTCTCGGAACGCAGTCGCCATCTGGCAAAACCACTGCGCGCACAGCACCGACCGAATCTGCTGAGAGCCCCAAGGCGACACCGAGGAAATCTCGTGGTCGGGTCGTTTCGGTGAAGAAGGAGGTTGAGGAGGAAGAGACAGTCACAGTCGAAGCAGACATTGACGACGAAGACGAGGTCAAGGACGAAGAAGCGGATGAGAAGCCGAAGGTGAAGGCCAAGGTTACGAGGAAGAGAAAGACAAAGGAAGAAGTCGAGATGGTACCGTTGAGGGCGCGCACGCAGGGTCTGCGCATGTGCGTAGGCGCTCATGTCAGCGCTGCCAAAGGTTGGCATTTACTCGATAGAATCATCCATGATATGATGCTTACGATGTGTTACAGGCGTCTTTAACGCGGTTCACAACAGCATGCACATCGGGTACGTCCACTCACCATCACAACCAACCATCACTAATTCCTCCCAGCGGCAACGCCTTTGCCCTATTCCTCAAGTCCCAGCGGAAATGGGACAATCCAGCCCTTCAAGATGACCACCGCGACCAATTCCGCAACCTCTGCATCGAGCACAAATACGACGGCGCAAAGTGAGCCTATACCAATCAATCAACCTACCTACCCAACCCTAATCTAACCACATACCAGACACATCCTCCCCCACGGCTCCTACCTCGTGAACCTAGCCCAAGAAGACAAGACCAAAGCCAAGCAAGCATACGACTCATTCCTCGACGACCTCCGCCGCTGCGAAGCCCTCGGCATCACCCTCTACAACTTCCAGTACGCCCCCAACAACCCCACATCTATACCCTCCACCTCACCACCACAAACTAACTCTCCAACCCCACAGCCCCGGCAGCGCCAACCAAACCCCGCACGCCTCAGCCATAACCCGACTCGCAAAGGCCCTAACCTCCGCCCTCTCCGCCACCAGCACCGTGACCCCGGTCCTCGAAACCATGTGCGGCCACGGCAGCACAATAGGCGGCTACCTACACGAGTTCCGCGACATCCTATCCCAAATCCCGCAAGAATACCACCACCGAATCGGCATCTGCATCGACACCTGCCACAGCTTCGCAGCAGGATACGACCTCACCTCCCCATCAGGCTTCGCCTCCTTCATGCAAGAATTCTCCGACGTAATCGGCCTCCAATACCTCCGCGCCCTGCACCTAAACGACTCCAAAGCCCCGCGGGGAAGTAAACGCGACTTACACGCCAACATCGGCACGGGATTCCTGGGTCTCCGCGCATTCCACAACGTCATGAACGAGCCGCGGCTCGAGGGATTACCCATGATCTTGGAGACGCCGATTGATCGACCCGAGGGAGAAGATATCAAGGAGGAAGGGGACGGGTCTTCCAAGGGTAAGAAGAAGAAGCCGGCTGGAGCTGCTGCAAAGCTAGTACCGGATTTTAACGTCTGGGCGGGGGAAATTGCGCTGCTGGAGTCGTTGATTGGGATGGATCCGGAGGGCGAGGAGTTCCGGGCGTTGGAGGCGAAGTTGTCTGAGGAGGGGAGGGAGATGCGCGAGAAGCAGATGGAGCAGTATGAGCGGAAGATGGAGGCGGAGGCGAAGAAGGCGGCGAAGAAGGAGAAGGGGCAGAAGACGTTGATGGAGATGATGAATGGGGGTGGGAAGGCGAAGGGGAATACGAAGACGAAGACGAAAACTACGAGGGGGAAGAAGGGGAAGGATGAGAGTGATGAGGAGGGGTGTCAGAGTTGTTCGGAGAAATAGTACTACGTATGGAGTTATTGAAATGTATGAACAGAATGATGTGTGAATGGTATATAATATTGGAGTAGAGTGTTCTACTTTGACATCGATATTACGTAGACTGCAATGCGATTAAGCTCCGTTAGAGCTAAGAGATAGATAACATGGTATCACTCGATAAATCACTGTCTATACCAGACATCGTCTGCCAATATGTGCGGGACGCCCAATGTACTCCAGACATGCCGATTTCTAGGCATGCTGATCAGAACCGCCGTTATAAAATGAAAAGGACCATCCAAATCAGAAACGTGCTGCGACCATCGACGAACTCGAACGCTGATGCCATGACGTTGTAGACCGACAAAGGGGTCTTGGGATATCAAGAAAAGTAGGGAAGCAAAATCCAGGTCGAACCATACCAGTGGTCCCATGAACCATGGTGAAAATGCGTGAAACAGCTATTCCAGATTTACTCGTCTAGGTAGCTGAGCGTCCTTCAGGTGAAGCCCGTTCTGGAGATGTCAGGGGCTTGCTACCGAGGCTAGGGCCGGAAGCTGTCCGGTTAAGCTCAGCTTCCAGGGAAGTGATGACTGGGGGCGCCGATTTCAAGGGCGAGGGGGCCGACACTCGCGGGGAGAAATTTCTATCGTGATCCCCGAGATTGGTGGTGTTGATGCTTAACCCGAGCGCATTGCTAGCGCCGCTGGCACGAACACGGAATGAGCGCCGACCGCCAGCAGTCAAGTCATCCTCAGGAGTAATATTCACATTGTCCTCGTCGACATGGATGCCCGGAGATTGGAAAGTGCTCGTTTCCGGGTTGCGGATCCGACTGTACTCTCCGCGCTCCCCAGTCGGATCGGAATCGTCCTCAGAGTCCAGGTTAGGACTCCGTGTCCACGCGCCCTTTTGAGATTCTGAGCGCATTTTAGAGATCTTCATGTAGTTGTAGGACACGATGCTGCCAATGGTGACCACCAGGCCCGTAATGTTGACTGCAGTGAGCTGATCGTGGAAGATGACCCCGGCAGCACTGATGGTGACGACTTCCTTGAAGATGCCGCAAATGCTCAGCGTCACGACCGAGGAGCGCTTGAGGAGCGCAAACTCAGAGGAAATCATGCAGAAAGCCAGGATACCAGGGAAGATCAGCAGGAAGACAGCAAACAGGCCTCCACGGGCAGCCGCCAGGGCTTGGAAGCCGGCGATGATCTCCAATGGCCCCTCTACCGCCAGCGCAATGACGATCAGGGAGAAAAACATCACAGGCGTAAGGAAGAAGAGGGTCGAGAACGGGTTCGCCGTCGCAGGATGACGTAGCAGGAGGATCTGCGTGAGGCCCCACCGGAAGCCCGAGAAGAAGGCGGATGCAATGACGAGGATAAACCCAACCGCATTGAAAGCGGTCTCACCGGCGACCATCATGACCACACCGACGGTCATCGTAGCAATGATCACTATCAACTTGACGGATGGGGTTTCGAGGCGGAAAACAAAGGCAAAGAGAAGGACGAATGCTAGTGCAGATGATTTGCACATGGTGAGGAAGGTGAGGGAAATGAACTTCAGGGACATATTTCCTAGACCAATATCGAGGGAAGTCGCCGCACCGCAGGGGACGAGACGTGTAAGGTAGAATAACCGGGTGACCACCGGTCGGGACTCATGGGGGTCATGTTCGCTCACGGGCGAACCTGTAGGTGTGGATGTAACGGGCGCTTTCGGACGCAGGGAGGGTATCAAATATAGGAGAATGGATGAAAAGGTAAACTGAACGGCCATATGCAAGCTCGTGGTAAAGAGGGGGAAAGGGAAGACAACATCGTCATCGGAGAACATCCACTTGTTGTACTACCAAGACCGACGGGGGTTAGCATGTGAGCCATGAAATCCGCGCACGGGAGCAACTCACAATTGAAATCGACAGCGAAAAGAAATACCACAGTAGGATCAAGCCCGCATTGATGGACAGCCTCCTGAAGACATCACTGTCTGTGAATCCAAAGGGTAATGTATCGTGCTTCGAGGCCTTGACGTCGGCGATGCGGGCATCCAACTGTCGACGCTGCTGCCTTCTGCGGCGCCTCTGGCGTCTCTGCTTCGCTGTGAGACCCGTTTCTTCGTCATCATGGAGGTCGTCGTCTGAGCTAATATAATCCATTTCCAAGCTCTCTGCGATCGAGGACAGGTCCGAGATGTCTGCGTCCTCAGCCGGCGAGGACTTGGGCTCCTCTCGTTTGGAGCCAGCAGGGTCTCCAATGGCCCTTGGGGTATCGTCCCGGTGTTCGATTGGAGCTGACTGTGAAGCGCCCGCTAGCACTGAACTCCGCCGTCGATGATGATTGCCAGATGGGGAGACACCCATGGTCGGAGAGGGAGTGCCGTCGGGGCGGGACGGCGCACGATATAAGAGGGCGATAAGGAGAGGGAAAGGAGGGTAGTCGCTAGGATGGCGCGAGCCCCATCAGTGACGAAAGGTAGGACTAGGGTATGTGTCTCAAGTGGGCCAGCGCTGGAGGGAGAATACTAGTTTTAGGACCGGAGGGGAGGGATTCGCGAGGGTGAAGAATGGCGAGGGGCACCGGATGCCCGAAGGAGAGTGATGAAGGAAAGCCGGTGAGGGAATTGACTGGTCTTAGTGGGGACGTTGACAAAAAGCTCACGCAGAAGAAGGCAAATCAGAGTCACGAGAGAGAAAAAGGAAAATGTCAAGGGAGGGTGTGTGTGCGTGGGAGAGATAGATAGGAGTGGCAGCAGGACAGCCCGAGCAGGAGGAGAAAGGATGGGGGATGCAAGGGCGACCGATGCACGAACGCCGTCCCCGTTGATAGCGGCAGAGAGAGAGACAGTGAGCCAGGAAAGAGGCGGGATAAGCACGCGAAAGGAGGAAAAGAAAAACAGGATAGGGAAAAAAAGAAATGAAAGGAGGAAAAAGAAGGAGGGATTCACACAACCAGTCAGCACAGCAGGATGAACCAGTTGAGACGGAGAAACAGAATGAGCATTTGGGAAAATGGGGAATTGGAATGGAATGGCAAAGGGAGAGGAAGAGGGAGTCAAGGCAGGCAGTCAGTCACAGTCTAAACAGTAGTAGTGCCAGTTTCAACCCAAAAGTGGATATTGGAATTATTGTTTTTCTCGCCAAGGGAAAGAGAGAAATTCGAACAAGATTATTACTATTACAATAATAATAATCATCAGAATAATAATAATATGGATGTTGTTGCCAACAGCCACAGCCTCTCCAACGTCATAGCGCGATAGTCCACTAGTAGGTAGTTAGTTAGTTAGTTAGTACTCTCCCCCTGGTCGATTAGGGATACGAGCATCACCTGGTTGCTGAAGGTTAATAATCATGAAATGATGACAGAAAAGAAGGACCGTCCGAAAAAGGCCAGGCACAAGGATCCACCATCCATCCGCGTCTCAAAAAGAAGACTCAACCAAGGGCCCTTTGTTTTTCATCTTCTGTCTTGTTTTGGCCCCTATTGAAATAATGCTGGTTTGGTCAAAGAATTGTGTACTACTACTACGGAGTACTCCTACTAACTTTGTCGAATGATGCTGGATGTTCTGCTCAGCTCGACAAGTCACCAGCCAACCTTCCCAGATACGGAGCGGGGATCCTCGTTTTCTAGATTCCTTCGGGTCTTTGGTCCCTTCCGGCCGATCCGGGGTCAGCATTAATTGCTTCCCTTGGAGTTAACTTGACTAACTCGATCATCATCCATGGCTGGCGATCGACTGGAGCTTTTCAGCTTCATCACTCGTGGAGACAAATAGATCGATCGATCAATTGATACGGAGAAGATATGAGGATTGAACAAGAACAACAACATCATCAATTCCCTCCTACGGGTAGCAAGCAAGAGAGGGATCAAACCAGCATCTCCTCACGCGATCAGGCAGCAGCAGCAGCAGCAACCCGCGGATAGCCGAGTGTTGTTGGCAAGTCAGTACTACTATTTAGTAAGTAACAGTAGACATGTAGTGAAACATCCACCACCTCAACTACAAGGTTACTGATGTCTACACTGGTCGACAACTATTTCCGACCGTAAGAAAAAAGAAGAAAAACGGCGCTTCGTGCCGTCTCTCATGATCACAACTAATAGATTATTCACACCGACTCTTGGCGGTTAGACCTGAATCGACTCGGAGCTTCCTTGGATCCAACTTTAAACACGACCCCATCGCTGGGCTGATTGGGTGCCGCCCAATGCAATAATCCACGGCCGCTTCTGGTCCTTTTTTCCCTTTTATCTCCCCTCGGCAGGAACAAGACGGCCGTCTTTCCGATAGAAATCACCCCAGCCAAGGTATCTAGATTGGATAGATAGGATTTCATGAGTTGAGGTGCATATGGCTAGTGAGGTGTGCCATTGTCCCCCTCTCAATGCCCCATTCATTGCCCAGAAGCTGGGCAGAGCAGGTGCCCCCTCATTTGGGTCACACTCCAGCAGCGAGAGAGAGAGAGAGCTAGACTACTTTCAAAGCACAAAGTATGCTGATCCCATCCCATCATCTCCATCAATAATGCGGGGTGGCCCCAACACCGATCATTTGTTTGAAGAATGATCTTCTGTCCCTTGTATCCACTTCCTCAACTCATTGAGTCATCATTATTTCCTTCCTTTTCGCCATGTCTCAATCGCCACCACCCATCAAATCATGTCATCACACTTATGCCATGCAGGCTTCACCAACACATCCCACAGTAGACCGAACCTGCCCTAAAATGATTCCCATCAAGAGAACACACACTCACAAACTATCAATCTCATGCAGCCCTGCACCCGCGTTAGCTAATCTCATAGTTCACACAATAGCCCAATCTGCATGATGCTAAACCTGCATCTGATGATCCACTGATGATCCCGATTCTGGTGCAAGAAGAGGGGCGGGAGCTGCAGGGAACCCGGAATGCACTCATTCACTCACTCACTTCTTTTCCATACCCTTTTTCTTTTTCTTTTCTTTGCTTATGCTGTTATGCTAGACTATGCACGGAGTCTCTACTACTAGACTACTTTACTGTACATCAAAGTACAATGGGTCCAAGCGGCTCGGAGAATTCCATTGTGGCTTTTGCCTTTTTTCTTTTTCTACAACACTCCCTTGCCTTGCCTGAACCTTTTTCCATACTAGTATGTGAGGGCTGAACAGCTGCAGTAAGCACAGACTAAGTCATTGTCACTCATCACACTATTTTCCTCCCGTAATGCAATCAATAGTTCGAGCTACTAAGTTATCTACTACGCAGTAGTTTATTGAAATTCTGTCTGTCTGTCAGTCAGCCACGCTTCAACATCTCTGAAAGTTTAGTTTTGCTCTCATGGGGCTAGTAGATAAGCCGCTGCTGATATTATTTCTCCGGAGAAAATAATAGTAGTGACATTACTGAAGTTGTTTGTCCCGTCCAGCTCTCCTGCGCACTCACTGATCGCTCTGGAGCACGCACTGGACGTATACAACTTGGCATCCTCTGTCGATGACAACAAGTTATTATTTTGAGGACATACAAAACAATGGTAGTTGCATGTTGTCTTTGATCGCATTTGAATGTGGGTAGATTATTCTTCCTCTATCATAGTAGAAAGACACTGTTATCAATAAAAACACTCTAATATGCGAATACTCCGATTCCTTGAATTTATAATTATGGTGGCATCCGATTTACATACTTTCGCTCTCTAATTCTACCGGTAGATCCTTCTATCTTGAGTACCTACACTATGTAAATCATACACCACACTGCATGAATACTTTCCAGACCCCAAGTGAAAGCCTGCCTTAAGCTTCAAAAGTCATACAGACACAAAAAGTGCCTGTTCTATTCAAAGTATATCGGGAAATCAGGAATAGAGCATTAGCTGAAACGTAATAATAGTACAAGCAAGGATAGTATAAGCATAAAAACCCGCATTTCCAGAATATAGACTTGTCTATCTACCACGAACCCATGGGCTAAGAACAGAATTGAGGTATAGATCGAAACCATGAGATAGAGAATAAACACTAATTAATATGAGTACACTTGCTCATATACTCAAGATCATTTCCAGTTCCCCGTCCATTCACAAAAGTATCTACGTTGACCAACTAGATCCAACATGATCATATTCTTAGAACTAAGAACAAGTGCAACTCGACATTTTCCTGGAAGAGCGAACATGTTCGTGGAACCTTTCACAATTTCCCACGTGCATGTGGGACGTCAAATGATATTGTGGAAAGGGTCATGTTAGATTTCGAGATAATTATAACATTTGTACCCCCCTCACTCTCTTTCCACTGGAGGTGTCTTGTTTCGTCCCAAGCGGTTCAGGCAAGAAAGGATAGGGTTGACAATTAAACTAACTTAGAGTTCTAAGTCTAATGTTATTGATGCAGTATCTAGATCTTAGACTCCCCGCAGTGAAATACTACAGACAATGTACATCAACAACCATCAAAGCAACAGCAACTCAGCATCTCCATACTCATCTCTCAAGTCTACTGAAATTATTACTTTTCAGAATTCCCATACAATACACCTTACTACCCATCCTCAGCGGACCACGAACTATTACCACACTGCACCACCAGACTTCCCTCCCTTCATATGACCTTCTAATACCCAACCCATAAAACCACCCTATATACCACTGCCTGCAATCTACCCCCCAAGCCAGACCGCGCTACAAGCGGTTCCAACAAACCATGAACCAAGTTCATCACGCCGAAGGATCAACTTCACCTCGTGACAGATACGTGGTCCATGCAGGTAAGATATGTGGGAGTATGCCACTGGCTGGAACTGAAGGGCTTTTTCTTGGGGTTCGGTCCGAGCCATTCCTGGCCTTGATATCTATGTGGGTGGTGCCTTGGCTTTCAAGCTTAAGATAACTTTTATGCATATTTACACTGTACCAACTAGGTAGCTGAATGGTATAGCATGGTTCTGGACTAGAAGTAGTATAGTTAATGCTTTTATACTTATACCACTCCTTCTAATGGGGGCCTGATCTTGGTGTCGATTCCTTGTCTATTAGTATATGCAGTTATAGCAATGTGAAATGACCAGAGCCGCAAGGTCAATAGAATAATATAACTAGCAATTCAAATCTAACTAGATCACAGCATAGATATCAAGCAGAGTCTATTTTTCATCAACCTCGTATACACCCAACATCATCCACAGTCACAACATATCAAACTGTACCCTCCCCTTCTACATACTCACAACCCACCCAACCCTAATAACCAGTATACTACAACTAACACCCTCATCCCAACCAAACCAGCTAGCTCCCTCTACCACATCCACCTCCCCAACACCCACACATCTCCAGACAGACAACAACAATGCCCCGCAAATGCCCCACGTGCGCCAACACCGGCGCAATCACAACCACATGCGCAAACTGCCAAGGCTCCGGCGGATGGTGGAAATCGACACGCACGGTCTGCGATCGATGCGGGGGCACGACGGTCGTGAACACGGGGACATTCTTCGCTCGAAGAGTGACATGTCCGAACTGCAGGGGTGCAGGCAGCTGGGTCAAGAATCTGTGGCATAAGTGTGGGAGGTGTAAGGGGAGTGGACGGGCTTTGGCGCCTTGTCCGAGTGCCTGTAGGAGGGGGAAGGGGGTTTATAATAATTGGTAAGAAGGGGTGGGGGTATGGGGGTTATGGTAGTTAGTGAGATTCCGATAGGATTTGGTGCAATTGAATGGTTAGTATGTGATGAGTACTACTACTTGTTTGGCTACTTTTGTTGCTCGGAATATAGTAGGGATTTCTATAGGAGGATTCGTATGCTGTGTTTGTTATATATAATTGATAGAGAGAGTGTGTGTTGTCTCTGATATACTATCCAACCAATCTATTACCCACTGCAGCTAGCAGTCTACCTGCACTACTACACGACATAGACTAACATAGTGAACCGAGCGCATGACCGTCATGCACAATCTAACCAATGCACTCAGCACACGCACTATATGCTCCCCCCCCACATCCCAGCAAAAAGCAATACCTCTCTCTCTCTCTCTTCCGGATCTAATCATCTAGTAGTTCAATAGTACCAAGGTAAGCCTCAGCTGAACAGAACTGCTTGTTGTATTCCCGACATAGATAATCTCCCATCAATACGCAATATACATATCAAGCAACTAATAATCAGTTGTTGCTTTTTCGGAGAAAGGGAACTCAAAGTTGACTCCATTCGTTCAATGGTCTTATCGAATTCTATTTCTTTGAATGATCGAGACGGAGATAGTGTGTAGACTGCTGTTCCGTACGGAGACGGTCATTCTTGATGGGACATGTGCTGCTTGATGGCACAACTGGTTAATACAGTAGTCGTTCATATAATGGAGATGAATAGATCAGATAGGTCTCATATTCATGCCGCCCCTGTATCTAATGGAAATAAATCTAAAGAACATGCCAGAAGGCAAGGCTCCATTCCCGACCTATATGATGCGCTGGTTTCCAGGACAGAAAGCTTGTCCGCTGCACCAAGCATTGGTCAAGTACAAGTCCGCTTCTGTATAAGCCATGCCGCCCTTGTCCATGTCTGCGCCTGCTTAAAGGACCGTCGACCATGGCCCCTCGCGCAATCCTTTCCGTGTATAATTGACAATCAGGGAGAACTCGTATTCTCCGGTTTATCATTCGCTAAATTGCGTTCATGGATAAATGGATCCCACGCAAATCATCCCCGGCACTGCACCTAAGAGGCAAAATGGAGCCTTTCAGATGGGTAATAAAATATAGGAAGTCGTATTCAGCCCCCTTTACGTTGTCCAGCAGCACCGGCTCCTAGAGTCAGATTGTTAGTCGCCATTCTTCATACAAGCGGGTCCGCCCCAAACGAATGGTATTAGGCTTACCAATAGTTGCACTCGCGTTGCGCAGTTCAATCTTCTTACGCTCCATCTCGAGCTATCCAACTGTCAGATGTATCCTGTATCGTGGTATACGGCCAACTTACCACCATGCGTACTCGGGCAAGAGCAGCCGTGTCACCCGCCACAAGCGGCCGGCAGTCGTCGGGGCGGTAAGGAGCCGCAATGGAGACGGCATCGGCTACGATGATCTTGCTTCCATCCCACCGGGCCGGCATTGTGCGACTGAATGCGTCAAAGAGATCCTGTGCCTCCTTGGTGACTCCCTTGCCTCGACGTGCTTCACCTTCCTGCAGCTTGCCGACAGCAGCGGCCTCCCGCGCCTTCAGAGCGCGAATATCAAGTGCGTGCAAAGGCGGTACGGCATCAGAGAAAGAAGCCCCATCGGTGTTGGACGGAGACAAAGAGAGAACTTGGAAGGATTGTATGCGTGACACCGGAATGACGTGGTAATCGCCGGTCTGTGACTTGCCTTCTTCGGCAGTATTGATGGCAACGAGGTTCGTGATCGGACAGGCTGTGAACAGAGTCCCCTCAATGGTGGAGGCGACCGGAGATGTACTGATACGAACACTGTACAAAACACAACATCAGCATGAACTTGAGATCTCTATACATCCATCCAGAGGCTTTCTGGCAAAGGGATGCAGGTGCTAGCACTTGCTGGACAGACGGAACTCTGCTCAACAGTGCTATGATAGGTCGAGGCTTACCGTGCGCCAATTGCACGGCTCAATGCCACCTCCAAAGGCACCATGGCACCAGCCATTCCCTGGCCTGCAGTTGCGCCAGACGATCCCTGTGCAGATGTTCTTGCTCCCACGCTGTGGCGCTTGTTATCTGCCATATGCTCGGGCAGGAGACAGTTGAACTATCCCACCAAGAGCAGTGCAGGACAGGACAGGCTCCACAGTCAGACAGTAGCTGGGCTGTCTCTGCAGAGGAACAAAGGCGGAGTGAGTCTAAAATGCCCCAAGCACACGATTGCTCACGTTGAGGGCAAGCAACGTCAAGCGCAGGTCGAAATGATCGATCGGAATGGGATTCCAGGCTAGGTGGAAGCCACGGTCGTTACCAGCAATGACGATGGCACTCGAGCGCGGAGCAAGCAAAAGTGGGACGGGCGGGAACCGCAGCTTAGTCGTAGTTGGGTAAAGGAACGACAAAAAGTAAAGACATAAAATATCCAGTAAAACAACAAACACAGAAGTGAATACGACGCCAATAAAGTACAACCAGCCCGGGAGGAAAGCTCCTCAGCGTCCTGGCATGCAGTTGGGCAGAATGGTGGTGTGATTTGTGCACCATTGGATTGACACGATGGCCGCCGAAAGGGAGTCACGACCTTCCCGTCGCCCAATCCGGTTTAGTCCAGGGCGGAGCAGCACCTCCGGCAATCACCAGTTGGCTGCTCTTTCACCAGCCTCAACACTGCTATTCTGTCCCTTCGAAATTACATCCTTTATTCGTCCCACTACTTATTATGATTCAATCTACTATCATACTACAGTATGGAAAACTTGTGAAAAGAAACGTAAGACTATTTCATTCCATACGTTTTTCCCATCAAAAAAAGAAAAAGAAAAGAAAATAAACATCTAGATACATGTTAATGAAAATATAATAGAAATTCATTTCCTGTTTTGCTGGTCGTTTTGATCGTCATCATTCTTGTTTATGTGCTCAGGGGAGCCCGACTAGTTAACTCTCCTGATTCTAGCCCAGCCTGTTCCCATGCTAGACCAGTGCGAGGCTCCACGTCCAGCGTTTTACATCGCATTTTCGTTTAGGCAATGTAGGTGGACGCAGACACGTTACCACCGCGTCCAGTCCAGTTGACGTGGATGTCCTTGCCCTCGGGGTAGGTCTCGCTGGCGTGTTCGGGCTTGATGCGGAAGGTGTGGGCACCGAAGTAGTCACGCTGGGCCTGCAGCAGGTTGGCGGGGAGGTCGCGGGTGCGGTAGCCGTCGTAGAAGCTGAGGGCAGTGCTGAAAGCGGGGGTGGGGATACCCCAGAGAGCACCCTTGCTGACAACGTTTCTCCAGCCGCTCTGGGCCTTCTTGATGGCAGTGTTGAAGAACTCGTCGAACAGGAGGTTCTCAAGGTCGGGGTTCTTGCGGTAAGCGTTGGTGATGTCCTTGAGGAAGACGGAGCGGATGATGCAACCACCACGCCACATGAGAGCAATGGAGGGCTTGTTCAGCTTCCAGCCGTACTCACGAGCAGCCTATAGTAGCTGGTCAGTATCCAAAAACAGGGTAGCCATACTCTGGACCAGACTTACCTCCTGGATGAGCATGAAGCCCTGGGCGTAGGAGATGATCTTGGAGGCATACAGGGCCTGCTCGAGGTCATCGATGAAAGCCTGCTTGTCACCGGTGAATTCGGGGGTAGGGCCGTCGAGAAGGCTGCTGGCACGGATACGCTCGTCCTTGAGGGCGGACAGGCAGCGAGAGAAGACAGCCTCGCCGATCAGAGTGACGGGCATGCCAAGGTCGAGGGCGTTGATGGCGGTCCACTTGCCGGTACCCTTCTGACCAGCCTTGTCGAGGATCTTCTCAACGAGGGGAGTACCATCGTTGTCGTTGAAGTAAAGGACGTCACGGGTGATCTCGATGAGGAAAGAGTCCAAAACACCCTTGTTCCACTTGGCGAACACATCGGCGATCTCCTTGGCGGGGAGACCAAGACCACGCTTGAGGATGTCGTAGGCCTATAACATATGAGTCAGTTGCCATACACTTATATCCAATTGTTGTATGGTCCCAAGCTTACCTCGCAGATCAGCTGCATGTCACCGTACTCAATACCGTTGTGGACCATCTTGACGAAGTGACCAGCGCCCTCGTCACCAACCCAGTCGCAGCAAGCCTCGCCGTCGCTCTTGGCGGAGATGCTCTGGAAGACGTCCTTGATGTAGGGCCAGGCCTCCTCGTTACCACCGGGCATGAGGGAGGGGCCGTAACGGGCACCCTCCTCACCACCGGAGACACCGCTGCCGACGAAGCGGATGCCCTTCTCGGCGAGGTACTTGGTACGGCGGTTGCTGTCGGGGAAGTGGGAGTTACCACCGTCGATGATGATATCACCCTTCTCAAGGTGGGGCAGGAGAGACTCGATGAACTGGTCAACGGGCTTTCCGGCCATGACCAGGAGCATGATACGACGGGGGCGCTTCAGCTTGGCGCAGAACTCCTCAACGGAGTGAGCACCGACGATGGGCTTGCCTGATAATCCGAACCGTTAGTCGATCCGAGGGCTGAAATGGATCCTGGCAGAGCGAGCTTACCCTTGGCCTCATTCTCAAGGAAGCGGTCAACCTTGGAGGTTGTGCGGTTGTAGGCGCAAACAGTGAAGCCATGGTCAGCAGCGTTAAGGATCAGGTTCTGACCCATAACGGCCAGACCGATGAGACCGAAATCAGCACTAGGCAAAGGACGCGCCGGAGCGCCGACATTGATGCCGGCGAGACGGGCGCTAAAGTCAGTTGCCAAATCCTCTGTCAATAGCTGGGCAGAAATGTGACAATTGGGGGGTGACGAGTGAAGCTGCGTTGCCTCTAACGCTACTATGACGTCGAGACGCAAACCTCACGAAGCTAGCAGTCCATTGCACCATCACCACTAATCAATGGAAGATGGATCCTGGAAGCCATATGAAGCAGTCTTTTCATTCTCCAGCTGACTCACGAACAGCTGGATCTCTCCCGGCTCATACATTGATGCGTCGGAGGGGTACCAAGCTGTGGGGGAAAGCAGACGATTGAGGGACATGTAGGCTTGGAAGGGGATAGGGGAAGGGAAGAGAGAACAATGGTAGCCGCAGGGTACTTACACAGCTTGGTCAGCCATGATGAAATAGTGGGGGGTATGAGACTCTGGAGATGGAGATATGGGAAGAGGTGGAAAAGTAGAGGAGAGGGGGAGGTGGTGGATATATGTACAGTCAGGAAGAACTAACTGCCTAGAGCAAGATGGAGAAAAGGAGGAAGGTTTTAGTTTGGAGGGGAAGGAAGGGAAAGAGAGGAAGAGGAAGAGAAGCGAGCGAAAGGGAGAAGGCGTTCGAAGATGTCAGAGCAGGATTCGCTGCAACTGGACGGCTTACGGAGCAGCTCTTCCGTCATGGTGGGACGGAGGGCGGGGCAGCACCTGAACAAGAGAGGAGCAGAGTCCTCCGGTGAACAAGACTTAGTAGTAGTAAGTCAGTACACCGGTGGGAGAGGGAGTTTGGTACCGGAACATACATGGAAGCCCGCGGATAGATGGTTGGTGGTGAGTAATAATTGTTATGTTAATAATTATTATAGTAAGTAGTATCTAACATGTAGTAGTGATGGCTGTTCTTTCTTTGAAATTAAATCTGGTTTGGGTAATACAACAAGCATGCATACATACTACTACTATCTACTGCTATGAAAAACCCCCACCATTTTCACTGTCATCCTCGTAAAATACGACCTCTACATTATTCCTTCTCCGAGATTAAAGATTCCAGTTTCGTCAAGTTCTTACTGATGACAGACACTACATTCCTCAACTCCAATCGCCAATTGATTCCCTGGGGATGACATGTTCGGAGATGACGGTGTTGCCAGGAGCTTCAAAGATGGCGGGGCATGGAGGGGCACTTGCCGGCCGCAGCAAAATACGCCCGTAACGCAGGTAAAAAAGCCCGCGTTTCCTAATTCCTACATCGGCCCAGCAACAGTCAAAAAAGGGACCGAATTTCCAGACTTCCCAGAACACGTTCGGTGAAGCACCTTCGGAGGCGGATAAATCGGTCTCCCCTCCACTTTTCCGCATCTTGTCTAACTACGAACAGTAATTTACTGTTACTGTTGGTTCAGACAGTGGTTCCTCCATCACCTCATTCCAGTGTATCAATAATGCCCATCTATCGGGTACGGCATCGGACTTCCTCCTGTATGTAGTGTGTCAATTGTCATAGTATGTTCTGCTTTTCGATGACCCTTCGGTATCCCAGCCATCGGAAATTGTTGGGTATCTAGACCCCCGCGGAGGAGAAAATCCATAAGCCGGAGAAACTGGCCGCTATTTCCGGGGACTTCTTATCTTCATCCCGCACTGGTCTTTTCTCCTCTCGTGATGGAATTGGCACGATGCCCTCCTATAGGGACGATCCTCCCCCCGGCGGTCGGCTACTGCATTTCCCAAAGGGGCTTAGGGTGGGGGTTGCATCACATGTGGGAAATCCGTTGGGGGCTCAAAAGTTGTGCTTGGCTGGCTGACTCAGGAGGTCAGCCTGGCCGGCCAGCTGTTTTATCACGTGAGTTTTATGGCTCAAATCACGTGGTTTAGACGATGCCCGGTTTGCATCAAACGGGAGGCGAGAAAAACCATTCATGCGGTCTTTTCTCTCCTGCCGCGCTGGACTTCATCCGTCATCTGGGCCACCAAACTTGCCAACCCGAACCCTCCAACAGCACACGGTTCGCAATCACTCGATACACTACCCATCTGACTATCAGCACCGCCGTCGCCTCTTCACGCTTTACAGCAAGGAATTGTTAGATATTCCATCACCACTTCTCCTCCTGTCTACTCACCTGTCTCTGTACTAGTGCAAGGAAAGATCTAGAAAGGCTCGTCACCAGTCCTTTCTTCCATCAAGATTCGGAACCTTTTTCAGGCGTGACGTCTGGCGTATGACTGCTGCGTCAGTCAAACCCTGAAGGTACGTGTCTGCTGCTAGTTTGCACACGGCGCATCACATCATCCACCACCTTTCTCTCTATACTATATATCGGACTCTCCGTTCATCATGTCCTTTCCGCCACCTCCAGGTCTCAGACAAGCTCCGTCATCTCTCCCTCCCCGGCCACCGGCAACAGCAAGCGCTGCCTCACCATCTACCTTTCAACCTGCATATTCGGCGGCACCGTCAGGCGCAAACAGCAGCTATGGCGGAAACGGGTCTCGACCGGGCTACAGCGCCATCACAGCATTCCAGCCTCGCTCGGTAGCTTCGAGTCAATCTTACCGTACCAGCAGCCCCGTCGTGTCCGCTCCGCCCACTACATCCAGCGGATATTCGACACCGACCACGGGCAGTTACGGTGGCTACTACCCTCAGGCGCAAGCGTCATATCAAAGCGGCCCTTCTTACTACGGGGCCGCTCAGTACAATGATAACACATACGGTCCGTCTGTACCTCGGATTCAAAACCCCTTCACGCCAGCAGGGGGCGATCAGTCAGGCGCCTATGGCATGCGTGGGAGGAACTTTGGCCGGAATGAATCGGGGCTGGACCCTGAAACGGAAGCCCAGATTGCACAGTGGCAGAGTGCCTACGTAAACAAGGAGGAGATGCCCGTAGCCGGCAAGGTTCCTGGTCGCCCGGGTGTTAACCCGGGTGTTGCTGGTCCCGCGTCTGGTGCCAACACCCCATCCGGTTCCAATACAGCGGCTAACACGCCAGCACCCACCGTGGGTAACCCGGAGCCTGCACCGAAGACTGTGGTTCGTGCCGGAGGTGGTCAGACCTGGTCCGATTCGACCCTCCTCGAGTGGGATCCCGCACACTTTCGCTTGTTTGTAGGCAACCTGGCTGGTGAAGTCACGGACGATTCGCTCCTCAAGGCATTTTCCAAGTACACCTCCGTTCAAAAGGCCCGAGTAATCCGCGACAAACGTACCCAGAAGAGTAAAGGTTACGGATTCGTCAGCTTCAGCGACGGCGACGACTATTTCAAGGCCGCGAGAGAGATGCAGGGCAAGTACATTGGCTCGCATCCGGTTCTGCTCCGACGAGCCACCACGGAAGTCCGTCCCGTGTCCAACACGAAAAATGGGAAGAAGCATGGTGGTGGCGGCGGTTCGGGTGGTGGCTCCGGCAGTGGTAAGGTCAAGCATGATGGCGTCAAAAAGCACGGAAAGACTAAGGGAGGACTCAAGATTATCGGATGAAGGAGTCATGTTGTATGTTTCAAAAACTTAGTGTGTATCGGATAAACAATAATGCATAAAGCTAAGCAGAAACCCCTCTATTAGCATAAAAAACGGCTACAATGTATAAATAAGTCGTGAGCAGCAGGATGATACCGATGCCTCGGGAAACAAATAGACAAGTGTCCCAGGGTCATTATACGGAGTACATCAGCAATATAGAGTATCGGCTACAGCAGTCACGGGATGGAAAACGAAATACTACTACTACCGCGGGAGCTCGAAAATCAGTTCTAACATAATTATAAAAACACTTGATCTTCTATCTACTAGTCAGCCAAACTGCTGTCCTGAGTTAAAATCTTCGACTACTCTCGATATAAATAACTAGCAATCAGCTACTACCACTATCTAACAGACACCGGTCACGGTATCCCCCCTTCCCCGTTTAGGCAAGTCTCACTATATACTATTTTTTAGCACTTCTAGAACTTCGACTCGTTCAGCCCGCTGCAATTGCCCCGCTTATTATTTCTCAAGTCCAGGCTTGAAGAGCTGCTTCTGCACTGTGCGTTGGAACATGTTAATCGGATAAAATTTACTGGAGTAAAACTACAAAGTCCCGGTTTTCTGAGTACCATAGGTAGTTCTTCTAGCAGGTCTGTATTTGAACCAAATCATTACGTCGGTATATCTTGCTAGATAACTTTAGGCTTTGCCAGAAATCTCTTCTATTCCAACCCATGGCGAACTTGATATCAAGGATCTCAACGAAGGGCTACGCCGAAAACCTACACGCGCCTATTTCCAACCCCCAGAGTCAGCGTAACCCTGCGTGTTCAGAACCGGGGGGTCCTCACCATCAAGAAGTGGCGGCTTTATCTTCAATCTCGGGGACGACGAGGGGGTTTTCCGCATTATCACCAGGCCGAGCAGGAGGACTATAACCGGATAAAGACTATGTCAGCAAATGGGGTGTATATTATGATATGGAGCTTGTACTCACGCAGGGTCGTCTTCAGACGGGACTTCCTCTATCCATCGGTCTAACTGGCGGACACAGTCTTCAAACGGACGGGCCAGGGCAGCGGGCGAGGCGCGCCAGGTCGGGATATTCAATTGGCGAGTCCTCGCGTATCCCTGGAGCACGACCATTGCGCGAATATAGAGGTTGTTGGGATCAACAATCAACTCCACTCCCTTATCCTCCAGTTTCTAAGGAGGGAGACTTCCAGGAAGATATAGTTAGTGCCCCGGCAAACTTTAGGAAGTACGTGATTCAGCGCGCTCAGTCAGCAGAAATATCAGATAGGGAGGTCTGTGTCATGTCCACAGGGGGTATCATCAAGCCCAGTGTAGGGATTGGCACAAGCTCGCTACATAGCGATTTCAATCCATCTCAAGGCCAGCACAGTCAGAATGGTCATGAATATCTATTAGACTAGACAATTAGCTGGCGGACATGGAACACGGTAAAACAAAGAGCACTAACCTTGCCATAACCAACATCATCAGCCAAAAATCCGCGCAAGTAGGTCGTCACCTCGCACGCCAATATCCAGATAGCACCGTACACCTGGTACGAAAGAGGGTATCGCTTGGTTCAAAGACCCGCTATAGGAATCCTATACTGGATATTCTCCCCTAGATTCAGTACAATCCTGAACGTGTAACACGCGATCCTCTATATTTCCGGGTTGAGGTTATCACATTGCAGGCCCTCCCAGAAGTCCAGGCTCCTGATCTCCGGTTAGACGTTGACCTCCACCGCGTGTAGTGATAACCTACCTGGCAGTGGCATCGCAATCGGCCTAATATCCCATCAGGGCTTCGTCCTCATCCTCGTTGTCGACCGCGGCTTCATCCTCGCTGTTACTCGCTCTTTCTGAGCTCCATACTCAAGATGGATGTTATCGCGCAATTCAGTCAAATCCCACGGAGCCAACTTGCGTAGGTGGGTTTTATTTAGATCAACGGAAGTCCAGCACGAGTGAACACTTCGCAGATACCAGCGAAGCTCGTGGCTGGCATGACAACGAGCGGCACAGGGAACCGGAACAGACGAGACGGTGGCGGATGGCACAGGAAACCGAAGCTATTCCTTCTTGACTACTATCAGAAAAAACCACTCCAGTGAACGAGGACTTCTGAATAGACCGCCATCGGATCTGCCCAAGACAGTTATTGTCGATGATAGCTCCATTGGCTACAACGATCAAACACGCCCGTGCTCTTGTCAGGATGACATTTGCACGACGATTGTCAGCAGCAAAGCCTAATTCAGACTTTGTCCCTGTGTCAACTTCCCAATGCAATGTAACAATATAGGTCTATGCGCGACCCTGCATTGAGTCAACAGTAGCAACTTTACCATGTCCTCCCAAGCTATATTCAGCCTTCCCGGTAACTTCGTCATTCGGCGGGCGTACTCCTTTTTCTGATCTGTATATGTCGTGATAATAGCGACTCTTTTTTTTTTTTTTTTTTTTTTTTTTCTTTCAGTGCACCACACTGATCAGAACTCCACGAGCTCCATAACCACAGAAACATTGGCATTGATTCTGAGCGAGACCGCCCATTGTCCATGCTTTGCATGCATCTTTGCGCACTTGCGACAATCGCTCTGCTTAACCTTTTAGGAGCCGTAGTGAGCTGGTCAGAATCAAAATATGAATTGAACTTGGGAGCTATGAAAATTCGGTGGAAGTGCAAGACGAACTATTTAAAAGGCTGACCCTGCCGAAAGAGGCATATATTGTCAGCCCGCGAGAATTAACCCGTTGGAATAATCGACTTATCAGCCATAGTATATATACCTTCTGGCTTGCATGCTGGTGTAGTAGCACCTTGAGCGTACCTCATGGAGTTTGGGATGTTCAAATGGTATGTAATATATTCTGGATCAGTGCTGCCAGACTCGACTCCCACTTATAGACGTGGGACCCATCATTCTCGATGCTCTGCAGCACTAGTACTCACGAGATGAGTATTAGCTAGGACTTTCTTGAATCCTTCCGAACATGCTATTGGCTGGTAGCGTTGATTGTCTGTTAATCTGCTATGATTTATATCTCGCCATATGTTTTATTACTTAGATAGATAGTAAGTGACTATCAGGTCGCCTGTAGCTCTTCCATTTTGTGTTTCTTCTCTTCGTAAAGAGACGTGCGTCGTCGTCGTTGTTGGAATTCGCGTTCACGTTGGAGAATATCTCGACCCGGGTTATGTTAGAACACGTGGCATATGAGGACGGTATAATCATGCCGGTCGTCTAAGGTTCACTAGCATCGAGACGGGCAAGGGGGTCGAGTATCGAAGGTCATGGTGGAAGTCGTGTGCACTTCGAAGTTACTGATACCATAGCAGCTTGGAATAGGAAAGAAAAGATGGAAGGTTGGAGATGGATGGAACAACTTTATTTAAATTAGTACAAGTCATACCAGACTTGAATGGATCACTTCCTCTTCTCGATATAGATAGACGCGCGCGCGAAAATGGTCGCCTGCCTGTGTGCCAGATCGGCAGTGTGGGCGGCCTGGCGTGGAAAAGGATGACTTGAAACACTCTTTCTAGGCTCTGTGAACTATGTGTGTATTAGGGCAGCAGGGCACAAGATGAGGAAGGAACAGTGGATGATGTTGGTTGCTCTGTCTTTGCCAATGGCGGCTAGGGTTGTCACACTCTTTCCCAGACCATAGTCATCGACGAGAAGACCTCCCCGGATAGAAAGTCCATTCCTGAACACGAGCTCATGCACGCTGACATCCTGCCATGGGAGTAAGAAAAGGGAGGTACCTGGCCATGCCAGACTCTCGTTGAGGCATAGATGGTCGGAGATTGTCCGAGCTCACCGGGACGTTGTCAGTGCTTTTTCCATTCTTGTTTCCCAGGGGGAGGACGGTAGGCTCCACATCGGAATCGAAGAACCCTGTTGCTGCTTCTTCTCGCTCAGCTTGTAGCTGTGTGACTGGGTAAGATTGCACGACTGAGGAACTCACGCCGTCCCGTCCGTCCAACGCAGTCTGTCAAGGATGACAGAGGCGAGAGAAGGCCAGAAATCGGAATCGATGGAACCTGCTGCTGCATCTTACCCAGTCTGTAAGCCGAGTAGCTGGAGTACCTCTGGCGTGACAGAAGCGAGAGAAGGCCGGGTTCTGAATCGATGGAATCTCCCTCTCTGAGAGTGCGGCATGCCAATCAACATGCGCGGCCATTGTCGCTATGTCGTGGATATCTTTCTCCGCGGCGTCTGCAATAACTGTATCTTCTGGCTCATACATGATACACTTCTTCTTAAGTCATGACAGGCTGGTACAGGACCTCGCAGTAGACATAATCCATGGGCGGCTTCTGCATATTTTCAATGTGGGTATGACCGTGTGCGTCTGCCAGGTAATAAGCCAGGGCTTTCTCCATGGTCATGACGCCTTCATGGCGACCGAAACAGTTTTGCGCAAACTGTTACCGGTAAATCTCTTGAATGTCATGTCGATTCGTCTGAAATTGATAGACCTCCAGAGAATCTTACTCTGGAAGACTGAGCAGGTTTCCAATTTATTTGCTGCTTATCCTTAGAGCTGTCATGAACATGTTATTCAGAACCGGGGTGGATGATGGTTCGGTGCGACTTATGCTGAGCAGTCTGTCGTCTGATAGACTCGCAGTAAAATTCCCATGTTTGCTTTGGTGAGAGGGCAATACTGTGACATGTCTTTTTCTGTGTTGGTCATAGATGCAAACCCGACAGAAGTGCCAAATGTTATTTATGTAAAGACCCGGCAACACTGGTGCTGCTTGTATACTATATCATAGTATGGTTAAGTCATGCTGTCCAGAACGAAGTAGAGAGAGGATCATACATATATAGCAGTAGTGTATAGGACAGATGGAGGAAGAGAAGATGAGAGAGAGGAGAAGGAGAAGGAGAAGTCCAGCCATATATATAAGGAAGAGAAAGGTGTTGAGTGAAGAAAGGCCATGAATAGAGACTGGGGAACGGGAATGGTCCCTATTATTCATTGGGGTAGAGCAGTCAACGTATGTGCAGGATTGATATCAAATTACCTCTAACAATTAGTGAAAGTCCAAATCATAGTATATCCAGGGAATACTGGTATGAAAACCCGTTCCCAAAGCGTTTTAGAAGTGAATTATCCAGTTACTGCCTGACGGAGCTTGCTGGAAGGATTAGGGTACTGCGAAAGGAAGAAACCAAGAATGCTGTAAGGTATTTAGTGTCTAAACGGAAGATGGCAGGTTAGAGGAGGAACTTGCCAGACACGTGGACTGCCATAACTGATGCTATATGAGTGGTAGCCCTTCAACGTTGATAGTCACTACTTATATTATTCTGGGTCTGGGTTCAGCTTTTTACTATGGAAGAAGACATAATTGCGAAGAGCAGCACATACTGTGGCTATTTTATGTCAATGGCTACTAGTACTAGTATATAACTAGCTAGCAGTAATAAGCAGAATAATATATGGAAATAGAAGGGAGCATATACATAAACCACAAAACACCAATCCAATCCATCAACCCCGAGAATCAGTAAATAATCGGTCAGATCCCGTCCGACGCAGACAATGAACGCTTTTGACAGCATGTATATATAAACAAGACACACACAGTGTATAAACAATCAATCAACAATGCATATGCAGAAGTACTCCGTACCCAAGGAGATCGAAGAAAAAAAACAATCATAACGTAATTTCCATGCGTGAATGCATAAATCCCATATCAAAAAAAAAACATCATGTTCCATGAACAATAAATCGTAAATAATGCGTAATAGTAGTAGCTCAACAATGATTGCAGTGAGCTAAGCCGTTAAGTCGTCGAATCGATTAGATCAATCCATCGTAGTCTCATAGTTTCGTGACAGTAGTGCTTCCGGGAAAGCAAAAGGACGCTGGGTCACTTCAAATTCGGGTTTAAGCTTCAGCTTCACCACCGCTTTCCTCGTCGACTGCGCGTTTCCGGGAGTGCGCAATGCGGTTCTTCATCGTGTGAATGAAGTACCCTGCGATGGCGAGGATGATGAATAGGACGATGATGATGACGGCGATGGCAATGTTTTCTTGCATTTTGGTGAATTTATTTGTCTTTTTAACTTTCAAGATTGGAGAAAGAAGTATTGGCGGAAAGTCGTGATGCTTCCTTATGAAAAGAGGATATTATCTGTTATGGTGCTGATGATGGTGGTGGAAATGCAGGTATAGATCCCCGATCAATCTATCGATAAGATATGGATATGGATAGCCGACCGGAATGTAGATAGTAAACAATGGGTGTGAAATTCCACCCTGACAGAGCTTGTATGTAGATAGCCCTGGACAACCCCAATATAAGTAGCACGGGGAATGGAGGGGAAGGAAAAGAATGAAAAACCACGCAGCTCCCGGTTATAAAAGGGGAAATGGCGTGGACGTGGACGTGGCCCAGCCATGTTGATTTTTGCTCCCCTGTTGCGGGTGGCTGGGGATAAGAAACGGATCCATGATTGCTGAGCTTATTGGACGCTAACAGCGTTAGTGCACGGCTTGGGCGCACTGGACTGATGCTTGCTTGTTCTGCCGTGTGGTGCCGCCTTGGTTGTTAGGAATAGCATCTTCACCATTGTTGAACGAAATAATAGAGCTGAGTATACCAAGGGGGTAGTGACTTGAAAAAATAGATATTGATGTAGTTGTCTTTCATTCAAGGCTTAGTTCCCGGGATATCCACTATATCTACCCTCCATCTTCGTTCCGGCAACTCAGTAATTGTAAGCCGAGCCCGGTAGGCGAATCACCATTAATTCTCCCTTGAGATGCTCAGTATATGCTCTCAAATGAATTTTTGGCTTATCTTTGTCCCACTATGGATGGCTCTATGTCTCTGGATCCTTTGATCCAACTCATATGCTAGTGGTCATCATCTCACTCAGGAAAACCAGCTTCTTCACAGCTAGTAGTAGTGTAGGTTACACCAGGAAATTTAATACCAGCGGAGTATCTGATTCACAGAAACTGACCATTGCCTTTTGCTAACACTCAGACAGTTCTTCTCAAGTGCCCATGTTTAACTAGATCGCTTAACTGACCTCAAGCTTCAATCTGAATATAGGCACTCAGCGAGGCAAGGCGCCCATACATGCAGTAGAGAAATTAGTACTATGCAATAGCACCGAAAAGCAAACAGCATGTCTAGTACTATTATATACCTCCCCTTTTCCCTGAACAACACGACAAATTAGCCACTGCACCATCCAGACAAGAAACAAACCCTATCTCAACAGCATTCATCACAGCAAACACACTGACATAGCCCAGCTTACCACTTTAAGCACCCCTACTTCCTCGTCTCCACCACCTCCCCAATCATAGCAAAACTCAACAATTTCCGATCAAAGAACCGCTCCTCATCCTCCGCAATCTGCGCCGCCGCCTCAGGAGCCGTCACCTTAGCCATAAAAGCCTGGAAAGAAGGCTGATCAGCAAAGGTCAGTTCCGCCGTCGTATCAAAGTCAAAGTCCGACTGCTGGCCCTGAAGGATAGTCGCCGGGGTTGTGGCGTTGCGGGCCGTCGCCCCAGCAGGTGGGGTATTAACGGTTGTACGAGCTATATAGGTACGGCGGTGCGAGAGGGGGAAGTCTTCGCCGGATATACGTCTCACGAGATCGATGTGTGCTTCGTAACGCTCTCGGAAGGTGGACAGGGAGAGGCCGGGCTTGCGGTAGCCGTAGATGAAGACGCGGACGGTCATTTTAGTTTACTATGGAGGAGGAAATTGAATTGTGAAAGTGGGCTTGGTGCGGAGTTGAAGGGTATAGTTTGTGCGTGACTTTGGGTACATGAGCTGCATTGGAGGTGGGGTTGTCAGGCACGGATTACATCGGAATTTGGTGCATGCTAAGTGCTGTTTCTTGGATTGGCATAGATGATGTAGTTCTCATTGCGGGGTTGTTGGGGCAGATGTCTTTGTCATTTTTCTTTGTAGAGCTGAGATGGAATAGAGTAGCGGATAGTAAATACTACTGGATTGGGAGACTGGCATCCGGAAGGATGACCACTCATGGTGTGCGGAAGGATATCGATGTATAGTGATGGCTGGTGCAGGCAAATGTACATAGATGCGATAACTACAGATGAGGTATACGGGTCTCCGGGAAGGATATAAGTCCCACAGTATTTATTTCAGTTCATTAAAGCAAATAAAGACGAAAAGGAGAGGCAAAGAAGCATCTGTGTTTGAAACACAGAATAAAAAATAGAGAAAAACAGAATGACCAGTCTGGGGCTCGATCCCAGGACCTTATCGGTGTTAACGATACGTGATAACCAACTACACCAACCAGCCATTGTTGAATTTTTGGAGCAAATTATGTATTTATGTAGCTGTAAGGAGTCTCTACTCCTAAAACACGCTGGATAATCAAACGCGCTAACTCAAGGCCACCAATGAAACCTCCCTACTTCATAGTCGCATCGAACAAAGAGCGCCTCGTGAATGTCTGTTGTAATTAAAATTATGATCTGCGGTACCCGCAGCCGCTTACTCCCAACCGGCTTGGTATGCAGTTGGTCTGGGCTGTTCGGAACTTGACATTCCCCATCAACCACCGGATGTCACGGTCATAACATGGGAATGGCGTCACGACTTCCGCTTGAAGCTGGCATTCCGGCTCGACTGCAGGGGTTGACTTTGGGATTGAATAGTCAGGATGACTTAAATAATAGGTATTACGTCGAGGCGAGCAGTTACTTGGCCCCTCTCGCTTGCAGGCCAGACGGTTAGATATTTTAAGAACGACAAATATTGGTATCATCGCACATTAACCAGTCATATCACTCTGATGCGCACTACTGTGTACACCAACTGATGGCGCGGAGACCCGACGTTTCAGTGGTCGAACTAGGCGCCAACCCATGAGTTCCCCGGACCCTGGCTTCCGCGCGTCAGGGCTAGCACTAGGTGGACTAGCAACTGGCACTCACAGGAATTTAAGAATTCAGAACCGAAATACAACTCTAAAGTGACTCGAAGCCACTTACAAAGAGTCATCAAAGTGTCCAGACAAAAGTCAGGCCAGACAGTCGAGCCCCGCCCGGCGCCGTTCCACTTCTTTAGCCCCAGATCTAGTAGACTAGCCACCTAGGCCTAGGCAGAGATTCAGGGGAATTGAAAGACTGGGGAGATTGCCTTGTCGCCTTTCACGATCCGGTCGATTCTCAGTCTGGTCCAACTGATAATGTTTCTATTCACATCACAAAAACGGTTCGGCCGGCTGATTCTCTATGCGCTGGGGGTGCTCGGGATCATCCTCATTCTATGGCAGTTGCCCTATGCTCGGCCCACCGTGCGGATAGGAGCTAGAAGCGCCCGGTCTCAGCTCGAGGATATCAGGAACGAGACTTTGGGGGTACTTCCCTCCAATGAAGTTGACATTAGCCCCCACACTAATTTTGTATAGGTCCAAAAAATTTTCGCGATCAACCTGCCTAGCAGGGTTGACAAGCGCGACAACCTTGTCCTCGGCTCTTCAGTCAGTGGGTTTAACATCGACTGGGTTAACGGCATCACTCCCGACGAGGTTGACCCCAGGACGTACCCTTATGTGAGTCCTTGACAACGCTATCCAATGGGATGCATGCCACTGACATTTCAGAACTGGAACTATGACCACAAACCTACCGAGTATGGAGCTCGACGGGCTCATGTGGATGCCATGCAACGGTATGCCATAAGCTGCCCCCTTCCTCATATATTTGGCTAAACATGCACCCCCAGAATTGTTCATGAAAGATTAGGAAGTGCCATGATCATGGAGGATGATGTCGACTGGGACGTAAACCTCAAGACCCAGCTACAGAGTTTTGCTCTCGGCGTACGGGCTCTCCAGGGTGCGGATAACAAGTTGACCGCTTCACCGTACGGTGACGACTGGGACATCATCTGGCTTGGTCACTGTGGAGTGTCATGTCGAGAAAACGATCCATATTTCGTGAGCTCGAATGATACAACCGTCCTCCCGCCACATCACTTCCTGCCCTACTGGCGCGATCCACCCTCATTCGGGGTACCAGACTATAGCCGTCTAACCTGCGCCGTCGACGATGCAGTTTGCTCCATTGTCTATGCTGTGACCTACCGTGGTGCTCAGAAAATCCTGGCCGCTCTTTCCGTGAACCCGACAGGTCTCGCCGATAAAATCGACATTGGTGCTCAGTTCGACGTATCGCTCGGTCGCATGTGCGGCAATGGCTATCTCCGGTGCTTTGCAGTCTACCCATCCTTAACAGGTGGATATCATCCCGCTGGACCCTCCTCGAAGGAATCTGATATCCACGGCGGGAATGAGGACGTCCATCCCATATCCAGTCACGGGGTTATGTACAGTACGATGCTGAACATCAACCGCATACTGGCTGGAGAGGATACGGTTGTTTCCAATTGGGATGACGCCCCTGTTCCAGTGATTAATCCGGCGAATGTTTCAATGACTCGGGGATCAATGATCATTTCCGCAGAGAACGACGAGTATAGTCCTTCAATTATCAACCCGTAATCAGAGGGAAACATATGCCGGCAGTTCCGAAAACCTTGCTCAATATTGTATATAGACTTGCTTTTTTTTAGAAGATACCTACAATAATCACATTTGACCTTTTGATTCCATCTATCCATCGACTTTGAGAAACCACGATTCTCGCGTCACAAATAACAAAGATGAATCTAATAAAACAGGAAACTACGACCCAGCATCACGTTATTCTTTAGCTCTTGCCTAACGAAGACCGCCATAGCCTCTGCTATATAGAAATAAAAACATAACCTCCAAACTAAACCCACCCACCCTCAACCTAGTATAACAATCATCATTATGGAATTCCACAACAGCGTCCAAACCGTCCTCTCCGTCCGCACCATCTTAGAATACATCCTCCTCGAACTAGACATGCGCACAATCCTTACCTCAGCGTCCCGCGTCAATCGTTTCTGGAACTACACAATCAGTAATTCCCGTCCCATCCAACAAGCACTATTCATACAACCATTTAGACGCCGCAACCACAATTCCTCACAGGGAGTCCTCAACCCCCTACTAGCAGAAGCCTTCCCAGGGATCTTCCAACGGAACAGTACCGTCTTCCCCGAACACACAGAAAGCAAACTTACCTTCGACACTTTCCACATGGTCAGAGACCCCACCAGGACGGAAATATACATGCGAGAAAACGCAAGTTGGCGCCGGATGCTGGTCCAGCAGCCTCCTGCGCGTTCATTGGGCATCGTTAGCCATATTGGAGATGATACGGGGTTTCGGGAGAGGTGTGAGATACAGGTTAGTTGGTCAATCTGATCTATTTCATTGGGTGGGTGGGGGGTGGGTTTTAATGTGCGTTATGTGTTTGTTAGAGAGTAAGCGAAACGGGACCAGAGCCGCGAGATGACGGTGTGCGCATGGAAATGCTTTTCGACATTCTGGTATTTCATGGCGAACTCCATGGCTTGATGGATTATGCTACTGTTTACTGGTGGGGAGATCGTTCGGGCTCTTGGGTACTGGAATATATGGAGGGTATGGGCGTGTGTAATGCCTCGACAGCGCCGGATCTTATATTGTATATCCCTCTGTTTTTACCAGGTCGTCGGGATATGGGTTCGGACATGGAGGTTAGTGGTCGTACGCCGGCTTTGGATTATCTTCGTTCTTTTTATCAAGACAATGGGATAACTCCTAATTTGAATATAAGGGAGGGGTGGGAAATTTTTGTTAAGAGACGGAGAAGGAGGTGGGTGTGATGCATGTATGCGGTATAGTTACTATGTAGATAGGATCAGGCAATAGCATTCGTACGATATGTATGACAACGCAGTGGCAGGCCTTTGTCCAGACGCATTTCACTAGCCCTGGATATACGTGCGGAACAAACTCGCCAGTTAAAAGAAACTGGCCTTGTAGAAGCGCTCTTGCGTAGTCAAGTTGACATACTACAACGATGTTAGTATAAGCTTTTTTTGTACACAAGAAGTAAAACTCACCTGTATTCCAAATCTAACAGAATACCCAGCCCTCCAGTCGAAATTATCAGCCAAACTCCAAGCCGAGCACCCCAGCAGTTTAACCCCTTCCTGAACAGCCATCAACATCGCCTGCACATACTCATGATAATAGAGGGTCCTCAAAGGATCCGTTAGTATATCCTCGCGCAGATTCTTATACGCCTCAAACGGCTCCGAAAATCCCAACTCAGCAATGGCTATACCGTTCACGGGATTCCACGTATCTTGAATATAATGCAAGAACCTAGGCAGCCAATCAGTAGCCTCATAAGCCAGACCAATCCAGGGTCGGATGCTGGGCCAATAAGCCAACCACCTTCGAATTCAAGCAACGTGTAAGAGGTGTTATAGCATGAGGGGTGCAGGCTGTTTTTGGGGTCAACTAGACACCCCTCGATCCCTTCTCCAAAAATATTAGAGAGAAGTTGAGGAGGAGGTAACGAAGTTGATGGAGGACCGGGGGGAAAGAGGAGAGAAGAGAGTGAGGCGGAAAAGCAGAGGGGCGGCTCTTCTCTCTCTTCTGGATGCAGCCAAGCCATCTTCCTCCTCCTTCACCCCCCTTCATTCCATTACCCACAACTGCACCCCAGTAATGCTGTCAAAGGTGGGACAGACCATCCAACTGCGACATTGGAATTTGCCGCCTTGATGGAAGATCATCCAATTTAGGCTTATCTATAGAACAACCCAGACTCCTCTCCGAGTGGCTGATAGCTTCATACCTGGGCTGATTTTGTGTCAAGCAAAATGTGGGAAAGTACGCAAGCTGAGTCTCCCAGTTCTTGTCTTCCTCCTTGCTTCAATACTATGACCGTTACAATGCTTTGAGTCACTGAAGACAATGGAGGTCTAGTAGAAACCGCATCCGATTACCGATCTGGTCCAGATCCGCAGATGATGACCTCACCATGATCCACGGAAACTATCGACGACATCAAGCTTAAGCCATGGTTCATTCAGGGTCTTCTCCCACACCTTCTTCCATCATCCGAACTTATCTCATCACTTGATGCATGCTTATTCGATCCCACGATCGGCATCTCGGTCGTCCTGTTGTCCGATCCATACTTCACTCTGCTGGTCGAAAGCTAGAGCTCGGTGGTGAAGTTGCATCGGTCTTCAGCAAGCTCCGACAATGCCGGTACTTAACGCGGAATGTAGAGTGTAGAAAGATAAGGGCACCCAGAAGCCCATTACATTCGCTCATCCCCCTGTTGTGTCTCTTGACTTCTATTTGAAGCCGACATCGGGTATTGTCTCCGCCGTTACTTTACTGATTGATATGTCATATTTCTGGTAGCTAGTGTCGCATTACTATCAGCATGGACTCGGGACGCTCCCCTCCCAGCGAGCCACGCTTTGCTCCCAACGAAGACGAGAAAAAAGCTCCACTGGATTCTTCTTCCGAGTCGAGCTCAAACGCGTCGCGTAGCTCGGGCCTTTCGAGAAAGCAATCGGCTATACCTGTAGAGCATCAAGTCTCGAATGAAAATGTGATCCGACAGGAGTCCTCACTTCAGAGGCAGCTCACACAACAGGATATTGCTCGCGCCCTTTCTCAACGACGCAGCACTGGGGCCGCGGGGGCCGATGATACGGATCAGATAGCGAGGTTGGTCTCGCGGATGTTTGGTCAGGAAAGGAAGGCCAACTCAGAAGAGGAAAAGACAAGACATCTTGGTGTGGTGTGGAAAGACCTGACGGTCAGAGGTGTTGGTCTAGGAGCAGCCCTCCAGCCCACAAACACTGACATCCTCTTGGGTTTACCAAGATTGATCAAAGGCCTCCTCACCGGCGGGAGGAAGAGCGCACCACTGCGAACCATCTTGGATGACTTCAACGGATGTGTACGGCCGGGGGAAATGCTTCTGGTTCTTGGTCGTCCGGGGTCCGGTTGCTCTACGTTTTTAAAGGTCATCGGAAATCAACGATCTGGCTACAAAAGCGTGGAAGGTGATGTTCGCTACGGAGGTGCAGATGCCGAAACCATGGCCAAAAATTACCGTTCGGAAGTTCTCTACAACCCCGAAGATGACCTCCACTATCCCACGCTCACTGTACGCGACACCTTGATGTTTGCTCTCAAGTCAAGAACCCCGGACAAAGCATCACGACTGCCTGGTGAAAGTAGAAAGCACTACCAGGAGACATTCCTTTCTACCATCGCCAAGTTGTTCTGGATAGAGCATGCACTGGGGACTAAGGTCGGCAATGAACTCATTCGCGGAGTTTCTGGAGGAGAAAAGAAGCGTGTGTCTATTGGCGAAGCCCTGATCACGAAAGCCAGCACGCAATGCTGGGATAATTCCACCAAAGGCCTCGATGCTAGCACAGCTCTGGAGTACGTGGAAAGCTTGAGAAGCTCAACCGACATGGCACATGCCTCTACACTCGTGGCTCTTTACCAAGCCTCAGAAAATCTCTACAATCTCTTCGACAAAGTCATGCTGATCGAGGAAGGCAAATGCGCCTACTACGGGCGCACCGAAAATGCCAAGGCATACTTCGAGCGTCTGGGATTTGTGTGCCCTCCTCGATGGACCACACCTGATTTCTTGACGTCTGTCAGTGACCCATATGCGCGACGCATCAAGGAAGGCTGGGAGGATCGAGTTCCACGCTCTGGTGAAGACTTTCAGAGAGCATATCGAAAGAGTGATATATGCAAGGAGGCCAAGGCAGATATCGAAAACTTCGAAAAAGAGATCGAGTCGGAGCAGCAGGCGTGTGAGCAGGCCAGGGAAAAGAAGAAAAAGCAAAACTATACAGTGTCTTTCTATAAACAGGTTGTTATACTGACTCAACGGCAATTCCTCGTCATGTACGGGGATAAGCAGACGCTCATCGGGAAATGGGTGATGCTCACGTTCCAGGCTCTCATCATCGGTAGTCTCTTCTATGACCTGCCCCAGACTAGGTTAGCCCCAAGATCTATCACCCACGCCAATCGATAAGTAATATCTGACAACTTTATAGCGCTGGTGTCTTCACTAGAGGCGGTGTCATGTTTTATGTACTACTATTCAATTCCCTGCTGGCTATGGCAGAGCTTACGGCTCTCTATGGAAGTCGACCGGTCATACTGAAACATAAGAGTTTGTGAGTGGGACAAGGCATATATATTTTTGCAGTAAGCTAACTTTGCCAGCTCCTTCTATCGTCCAGCGGCATATGCCTTAGCTCAAGTGGTCGTCGATGTTCCCATTGTATTCGTTCAGATCACCATTTTCGAGTTGATTGTATACTTGTATGCAACTCTACCGCGTTTACTGCTGATTGAGACTAACCGATATACTCAGCATGTCCAACCTTTCACGGACTGCATCTCAGTTCTTCATCAACTTCTTATTCGTTTTCATTCTGACCATGACCATGTACTCATTCTTCCGGACTATCGGAGCACTGAGTGCTTCTCTCGACGTTGGTATGTAAAACTGAAGGCTATTCCTTGCGTGTGCTGACCGAGAATTTCAGCCACCCGTGTAACTGGAGTTTCTGTCCAGGCGCTGATAGTATACACTGGTAAGAGATATCAGCCACTTAATGAACATTCGTACTGAAGATGCCCAGGATATCTCATTCCTCCATGGAAAATGCATCCGTGGCTCAAATGGTTAATCTGGATCAATCCATTGCAATACGCGTTTGAGGCGATCATGTCAAATGAATTCTATGATTTGAATCTGCAATGTGTCTCCCCGTCCATATTTCCTGATGGACCCAGTGCACAGCCTGGCAACCAAGTCTGTGCGATCCAAGGAAGTACGCCAAATCAGCTTGTTGTGCAGGGATCGAACTACATACAGACTGCCTTCACCTACACTCGATCCCATTTATGGCGAAACTTCGGTATTGTCATAGCTTGGTTTATCCTTTTCGTATGCTTGACAATGGTCGGAATGGAGCTCCAGAAGCCCAACAAAGGAGGCAGCACGGTTACAATCTTCAAAAAAGGCGAAGCGCCCGAGGCTGTGCAGGAGGCTGTCAAAAACAAGGAACTTCCAGGGGATGTGGAAACGGGAAGTGATGGAACAGGAACCACCAATGGGTTCCAAGAGAAGGATACAGATGGTTCCAGTGATGAGGTGCAGGGGATCGCGCGAAGCACGTCGATATTCACCTGGCAAGGTGTGAACTACACGATCCCTTACAAAGATGGCCACAGAAAGCTACTGCAAGACGTTCAAGGATATGTTAAGCCGGGCCGTCTTACTGCGCTAATGGGCGCCTCTGGGGCTGGGTAAGTGACGGTGTTCTAAGGTCTGTAGACAAATACTGATCATTGCCCAGCAAGACTACGCTTCTCAATACTCTCGCCCAGCGGATAAACTTTGGAGTCGTCACAGGTACCTTCCTTGTTGACGGAAAGTGAGTATCAGCTTGAAGACTGCTTTTCAAACAGCTGCTTACATTTGCAGGCCTCTTCCTAAAAGCTTCCAAAGAGCAACTGGCTTTGCTGAGCAAATGGATATTCACGAACCTACAGCAACTGTCAGAGAATCGCTCCAGTTCTCAGCCCTCCTTCGTCAGCCGAAGGAGGTACCTATCAAGGAGAAGTACGAATATTGCGAAAAGATCATCGATCTCCTTGAAATGCGGCCAATTGCAGGTGCTATAGTCGGCGAGGGAGGAGCTGGACTGAACGCCGAGCAGCGCAAAAGACTTACTATCGCAGTTGAGCTGGCAAGTAAGCCTCAATTACTGCTGTTTCTGGATGAGCCAACATCTGGATTGGACTCCCTCGCTGCTTACAATATTGTGCGTTTTCTTCGACGCCTTGCCGATGCCGGACAGGCCATTCTGTGCACGATCCACCAGCCGTCTGCCGTCCTCTTTGAGCAATTTGATGAACTGCTATTGTTGCAAAGTGGGGGAAGGGTCGTCTACAACGATGAGCTCGGCACGGATTCAAAGAAGCTGATCGAGTACTTTGAGCAGAATGGGGCCAGAAAATGCTCCCCCCATGAGAACCCCGCAGAGGTACTCTTTCATACATGTTTATCCATCACATATGATGCTAACCTCTGATAGTATATGCTCGATGTCATCGGTGCTGGTAACCCAGATTACAAAGGGCAGGACTGGGGCGATGTTTGGGCCAGATCTACCCAGCACAGTCAGCTTTCAGAGCAGATTGAGAAGATCATTCAGGAGCGACGCAATAAAGAGATTGAAGGAGGAAAGGATGACCATCGAGAATATGCTATGCCAATCTGGGTGCAGATATTGACTGTCTCAAAACGCAGCTTCGTAGCATACTGGCGAACTCCTCAATACGCTCTTGTATGTCCCGAAAGCTTACATTGCACCTATAACCAACCCTCTGACCACTCCGCAGGGCAAATTCTTGCTTCATGTTTTCACCGGGCTCTTCAACACTTTCACTTTCTGGCACCTAGGAAACAGTTACATTGACATGCAGTCTCGAATGTTCTCCATCTTCATGACTCTCACAATAGCGCCACCCCTAATCCAGCAACTACAGCCACGATTTCTCCATTTCCGCAATCTATACCAGTCACGAGAAGCCGGTTCAAAGATTTACTCATGGACTGCATTTGTGACGAGCGCAATCTTGCCAGAATTGCCGTACTCGGTCGTCGCAGGGTCGATATATTTCAATTGCTGGTG